GCTTATTGTCTTTTGTAATTTTTCAAAATACAAATAAAATTTATAAGTATGTCTGGTATTTGTTGATACTTGATATATGTAGTATCATAGTTATATTATTTATGGAGATTACTTTTAAGTGATTAAAAAGAGCTTAATATGATCTATCAAACTGGATACATAAATGTTTATGTTATTCCAATATTGCAGTAAATTGGAATTTTTCTGAATAAATTATCACAAAAATAAATCCTTGTTCAAATTTACGATGTCATTCGATTTGAACACATATAAATCGCTTTTTATTGTATAAATACATTTTATTTTGCTGTACAGGTAGCAACTAAAAGGTTGCAATACTTTCTTTAAATGGATTTTGGAATACAGTCTACTCACTAATTGACTTTTATAATACTTATATATGAATTCATAAATAAGAACCAATCGCTCGGTGAACAGGCTGTATTCGATATCTATAGAAAAGGAAGCGCTGCAACCTTTTTTGCCGATACATGATTCCACGTCAAATCAGAGAACAAATAAACAAGAACAAATAAATATTTTTCATTTTTCAAGATTTGTTGTAATTGCATGTAATATTAAAACATATATTATAATATAAAAGGTGTTCTAAATTCTTTTACATACCACTTGTGAGCAAGCAGAGCGGACTAAACTGATATGAGTAAAGAAATCCTGTACCATTTTGCAACTTCTTTTAGTTATTCAATAAACAAAATGTCTAAAATTACATAAAAGAAATTGAATTTTTCAGTTTAAGTTGCAAATTTTAAAAACATCTTTTACATTTAAAAACATTTTTTACATTTTTTAATTTGTAAAAATAGTTCGAAATATAGAATTAAAAGTACTTTTAAGAATGTTTCAAAAATAAATAAAATATAATATTATACACAATATCAAACTCAATATCATAAAAAGTAATTCGTGCGGTTTTATGATTGTTGTAGACACAATATAAAGTAAATTATTTTAAATTATTTTAATATCGTTTCACATTTTTTCTGAATTTTCTATATTTGTTGTTTTCTATATATGTTGTTTTTTTAAATATATAAGATTGTTTATTTCTGCATTTATTTCTTATGCAATGTAAGTTTTCGTATATTAAAATAATATTGACCAGAAAATTAGTTAATTGTAAATTGTCTTTGAAGTTTTTTCGAATAATTATTTAAGAAAATTATATAAAACATTTAGAATTAATAAATGTTATATTTTTTCATTATATAAATTTCAGCGTTTTTCAGATTCTATACACAGTTAAGGAAAACAAAATTTTGAGAAGCAAAATATGCAATACATAAATAAAGAAATTAGTTTTGGAGAAAAATAAAAAAAAACGACACATTCTTTTGCACACATGTATTTCATCAAAAAGATATTTGCAGAAGTATTACCTTCAGCTATGAACATATACATATAGCTATGAATAAGCATAGCATATGTATAATAATAATTCCATAAAAAGTAAATTTTGATTTTAATACATGTTTAAACTAAATAAATTAAATTTTATTTTTACGCATCAAAATTTATTTAAAGTATTTATATTATAATAAAGTGAGAGAATGAGAAAAAACATGACATGATAAAAATTAAAGTGTGAAAAGCAGAAAACTTAGAAAAGTTATAAGAAATAAAGAAGAGGAACATTATAATTTAAAAATGAGTAAATATTATATGTAATCAGCCAAATGACGGTCAAGCAGGATTTTGGTTGCTAATGTAATGTGTGAATTTTATTTACCACATATGTAGTCCCTCAATCGCGTGCTGAAATTTTTTCAGACTTACAACGCAACTCTAATCAACTACCGTAGTAATATCACTAAATTAAATTGACACAAGCAATCTAACAATTTTTTATGCTTATAACATCTTATTAAATCTTAATAATATGTTGAAAGATATATTTAACGGTGTAATATTAAATTAATGATAAATCGAAATCTGTGCAAAATAAGATTGCGAAGAACATTACATTAGCAACCAAAATCCTGCTTGACCGTCATTTGGCCGATTACATATCATATTTACTCGTTTTTAAATATCTCGACGGTCCAACACAAATCGTAATATTATAATTTATTTAAATTGTTTATATTATTTTAATTTCGCTAAAAAGTAAAAACTGCGCGGCTTATACATTACTGTACTAATTGTTAAGTCAAATTTATATAATGCTATTTTATTGGCAACTAGGACGCTAGTCTTTTAGTAAATTAGAACACTAATAATTAAAAGAAAAATTTAATTTTATAATTATATGCTTCACAGATTTATGGCACGAATGCCTTTGGTATTCTAGCTCTCTCTCTCTCTCTCTCTCTCTCTCTCACTAATAAATTTTTGTAGATATATGGTTTCAATTTTATGAATATTTTTTTAGACAATTAGCAATTAAATAAAAACAACTTAAAACATTTAATTTTTTCTAACTGTTAGTTTTCTTATTTATTAGAAGACTAGAAAGAGTGAAGAGGGAGTACACTAGTTGATAATACAAAAGCATTATGTAAACCTTGCTTCGGCGCAAAATATACATGTACAATATATTAAATTACACTTTTATACAAAAAAAAGATTTTTTTAATCACAATATTTATACTTACTTTAAATTAAGAAATATTATATTCTTTTAATTTCATAAAAGAAAAAAAAACTTTAGAAAAAAGGACTATTAACTCAGGAAAATATATTTAAATAGAAATGCTATTTAAAAATCTATTTTGTATGTATAATAAATGCACTTTAAGTTGGTTAATTGGTCCTTTAATCTTTTATGTTAAATTTAAATTTTTATTTTTTTTATTTTTAGAAATTGGAACGTTTCAAAAATATCGTAATATCAAAATACACACAGTTTGATGATCTCGGAAAGCGTTATCATTATGGCATTAAAGTTTTAAATAAATATATTATATACAAATGTAAATAAATTTAGAAATAACTAAAGTACTTGCTTCTTTGCTGCCTAATTTAACGTAAAATCGCCCACAATTATCATTAGTACCGTTAAGAAACTATTATCATTAAATCACTACAATAGGAAATAAATATCAGTTGAATCATAACATCGACACAAACGCATGGTAATTAATAAATCTATAAATCGAAATATATTATCTAACGTCAGAAATTATTACATATTACATACCAACTTTATCAATATGGAGCATTAACATGAGAAATTAACAAATATTTGGTACTTTTTATCACATACACGATGGTAAATGTACGATATAATCATTCAATGTAGTATTAATTTGTTATATTATACGATTTTAGACTAAAATTTAATAAAATTTAAATTTCGTAAATGAACATAATGTATGAAATATAGCAGATTATTATATATTTGTATCATTGCATGATTGTAATAAGAATATATGTTAATTAAATCAAATAATTAATAAATATACTGCAAATACTTCAACACATATATAATATCTCACAGTACTAAATGTGTTAGCAAAATTAAGTAATATATATCACTAATCGTAACATTGAATGTGGATACGTATTTTAACTATATTGAAGAGATGTCTCCTATTCAATGTTATAAATAAATTTGCACATTATATAATGCAAACAAATTGCACTAGTTTACAAATTTTAAATAATTTTTAATGCAAGGAAGGAAACAACTTTTATAACGTATTTTGGAGCGTTAAGTTCGAATCTACTGCTTAAAAAAACTCCATCCAAATCAAATTTTTTAAACATAGCATATTGATGAACACTGTTAAAACAGAATTATTAAAAATTATCATCAAATAGTCATATTGCATATATGTGTAAAAATTTACATTTTTTGCATTCACACGTAATGTTTTTCAAATAATTTGAACGAATAATACGACAAATAATGAACAAGACGAACAATGCATCAGGATTTGATAATTAAAAAACATTATCAGGGATATCACTGCAATAAAAACGTATTAAGTGGCTGCTGAACTCTAATACATAAATCCGCTCCAAAGTTATATAAAAAAACAAAAATTACACTTAACATTTCTGATTTGTTTTTTAATTCCAATGAAATTTTAATGAAAAGTTTATCTCTCAAAAATCAGATATGATGAAAATATTTTTACAGTAGATTCGTACTCAATGTCGAAAATTACCCTAGAAACAACCGTCATGTGTACTCTTGCACAAAATCTTGTAAACTAGTATTTGCATTAATCCGGTAGTAATAATGTTGAATTTGTTAAACTCAATACTTTTCACAGTAATTTAGTGTAATTTTAATTAAAGATGTATTATATTATTTACAAAATTTTGTGTATACATTTAAATATACTTATTTTTAGATTTCAATACTGAATTTGATTCAATAAGTTTCCTTGCAAATTTAACGTTATCACCAAATCCGGATTAATAAATAATATATACCATTTTATTACATATATACAACAGCGATAAGCCTTCCATATTGATAAAGTTAATAATCTTAGGTCGGTATTCATAGAGTCAGTCCTTATTTCAAGACCGTCTTAAGATTTTAATACAGCTCTGTGATTAATTCATAACATCTTGTGACTGTACTTAAAGTGGTCTTAAACATAAGAATCTATTATGAATACTGGTCTTAGAATAAACACATTTGAGACGCGCTCTCATTATAAATATGTTTTAAGTCGATATACATCTTATATTAATACACATATTGTACATAAATACAAGTTTTTCTTCGTGAAAAGTACACAAAATCTCTATATTGCATTAAACTCACATCCAACATGTATTCATGATTTACACAGTGAGCAGCTCTAGTAACCTTTTAAGGACCGTTAAAAGTCCTACTATTAAATCGTTGCCCTATAGAAGATCCCTGAGAAAGAAGCGTTAGTATTTAGTAAAATATTGAAAATTCATTTGGTTTCTACTCCGTTTTTTAAATAATTAAGCTGATTTTGATTGTGTCACATTGTATAATAAAAATTTTACTATTTATGACTACATACAAAGAGTTACGCAATTTGGCTAGCTTTCCTGAACTATACTCAATTTAAAAAATGTTAGTGAGCAAACGTTTGTTATTTTACAGTCGCGCATTATTATTTATTTCCTCTGAATCGTTTGTGAAAGATACTGTCTATTCACTTCGTGAAACAATCAAAGCAAGTATCAGATATTTTTATTAATTTACAATCTGCCGTTTCCATTTTCATTGCAGTCTTGTTACAGATCATTATTATAGATCTTCCTGATTATCTAAACGTGAATCATGTGCACAGTACTTGATCTCACAAGATCAGAATGTGTGACACGTTGTCGATCAATGTCCAATAATATAAACACATTGACCAAATTAAATTGGGTTAAGAGGCTTTAAGAGCTTTGTCCGCGTGCGCTAGAGTCAGAGATCCCACAAGGGACACTAGGGTTCGATCCAGCCATGTTATAGGATTTGGATACAGAAGACCTCCTTCATAGAAACCTAGATGACCTCCGTGAGCTAGTTCCACATATAATGTATTTAAGTGATTTGCTGAAATTAAAAAAATATGAGACATTAGTACATTTCTACTTATTATATATTTTCGTAAACTACATATTTAGATATTCACCCGCGTGGTCTTTAATTGGATTTAACAACACCTCCGGCACGATTGGATCGTCTAACGCGTTGATGAATACCATTGGTGTTGTAATGCTATCTAGATAAAAGAGACAACTACTCCACTTGTACAATTCTTGCACAGATCTAAAATTGTGTACCTAAACAACAAAACATTTAATAAAAACGAGATCCATTATTTAAATTTTATAATTGTGTGTTTGAAAGAATTAAACTTACCCTTCTCGTATAAGCCTCGTCCAGTTCAGGTAACGTCGCAGCAGAAATTATGTCTCGCTCATTCAAATTACATCTTTGTTTTACATCCTCGGACAAAAGCATATTTTTGTGTTTCAGAATAAGATTCTTCATCGATTCAGTCATTACATAGAGGTAAAAACGTCTAAAGTTCTGCCAATTTAATAGAATTTTCGTTCCCCTATGAAAAATATGTATGGCAAATAATATTATTCCTTATCAATTCATTTTAATTTTAAATCAAAGAAATCTATTTATACTTACTTAAGAGCATTGTATCCTTGACAAATCGATATCCCTCCTATAATATTAGGCAATTTGTTGGAACCGCGTTCTCCTAGATATTTTGTCACTAAATTGCCGCCTAAACTGTATCCAATACAAACTATTTTGGTGTTAGAGTGCTGTTCTACTAGATGTTGTAACATCGTGCTATAATCGTCTGTGTGACCTGCTTATAAAATGCACATTGTAAAATTTACCTTATTAAAAAAAAACATTTCTTTAAATATATGTATAAAATTTTATTTAAGAAATATGTATTTAAAGAAGAAACATACAGAATGTCAAGTATAAATGTATAATTTTGATTACAATTTCTTCATTATTCTTGTTGAAAATTTTTTTATCGATTATATATTATATCAACCACTAATCATTTATGAATACAATCGTAAAACGTACTAACGGTATAATCTAAAGTTTTACGAAACTACTCTACATCTACGAGTGGTTTTTTTTCTATAGCTGTATATTATAGTTGCTTAAGATTTTCGCGATACATACTCGCACGGTGTAAGAACTTAGTAATAATCCGCCAACTTTCCTCAATCGAGTCATTCTAGCATAAGTTTTATTGATTGCCACACGTACCGTAAGAAAATATTCTGGGTGCTGTAATCTTGACACTGGAAAGGGCCCCGACGTGATTAAGTACTGCGCATCGATATCCATGACATTGAACAAAATGCACGAATGTCCTAATATACACGCTCTCCGAGCTGTTGCCAATCCCAGGACAGATAGCTATCGTTATGTCATCTGGAGTAAGTTATTTAATGAACATCTCAAATATAAAAAACAACCTTTTAATTATTAAAAACGTTTAAAGCGTTTTCTAAGAAAAAAATAATATAAATTAGTCGTAAAAAGTTATTAAACTTTGTTATTAATCTATAAATAATACCTTCATGTCCATTAGTCAGCGGTTGATAAAGATCGTACGTAAGGGTAGTCCCATCTGGAAGACCGATGTACACACGTTCTCCAATGGGCCAAGGACACCGAACGCGTCCTATAATGCTGTGAATGATAGTTTGTACGTGGCCGCTGAAACCCCACAACCTCGTTGGTTTGTATCTAAAACAGATCAAGGATTATGACTACATTTGCTTATCTTCATCGAAACATGAAAAATTCTTCAAAATAATACGGTTATTATATTCAATCTTATCGTGCACATAATGTATTATTACTCTATTTGTGTCATTCTCTTATTAGCAAATACCTAAAGTTCTTATATTTCAAGGAAATATTGCAGCAAAAAATTCACAAAAAATTATTAAATAGGTTAAAACAAAAATTGGAAAATACTGCGTCCCATTTAGGACAATGATGAGAGGAGCTAAAATTCCGTTCTTAGTTGTGTGTACACTTTCTTTACGGTATTCTATCTATTAACTATGAATAAATTTTAAGCAGTTGAAATTTAAATTTCACTCGAGTCGAGCCTTTTTATTGCTTTGCAATTGTGATGTTGTAATGGTATTCAAATATGTCAATAAGAATTGTCAAATGCGAATGACATACAAAAATGAAAAATATCCATCTATTGAAATGCAAATTATGATATTTTAAATAAATAAATATTTAAATATACCTTCACACGCATTTTAAATATACGTTGGAACAAGGTTAGAGAAAGAAAAAATCAGTAATCTTATATTGATTAAACCAATTTTATAAAGAATGTATTATTTATTATTATCAAATTAATAGCATTTTTGTTATGGATTTAAAATAAAGACAAAAACATATTTTTGCATTAATTTTAATACTACATCTCATAAAGTTGATTCAAATAATTTTAATCTCACAGAATTGATTTATTTTTTAAGAAGAAATAAATTTTATATATTTTATTATATAAATTATTACATAAATTATATAAGAGCTTAAAAGAGAATAATATTTTTCAAAATTGTGTAATTTTGTTCAGTGTAATTTTAGTTTAAAACATATTTCGTGTTTTAAAAATTATCATAATTTTTTAGAACTGGAAAACGACTAAAAATAAATTTTCACGATACTTTACTCAGCGCTCAGGCAAGATAAATTGGTGAAAATGTACCGCATCGTTAAATTCGTTTATAGATAATAGTAAGAAGTCGCAGTATGGTTTAGTGGAGCACAAGATAGAGCGCTGAAAGAAACAAATTTACGAAAAAACAGCTTACTGCTCATTATTTGAAGAAATACATGTAAATATACGTTAGTATTCTCTAGTTTCCGTTAATTTTGTACGGTAACATAAATCAATGCCAAGATTCGTATCGACAAGAAAAGGAATTTTGCAGACAAAAACAAACTTATTAGATAAAGAAATATTTATTTTTATTAAAAGCAAACGTTCACAATGTTACAATTTACGATAATTTCTCATGAAAAGAGATCATATAAGTTTTTTGAAACCAAAGTCTTTCAAGTCTTTCTCTTTTACAGCTTTCACCGTTGTTCATAAATTGTAGTAGCATCTAATTATTCACGTAATCACATATGCAATTATAGCTGCCAAATAAATGATAGTTCTAGTGGTATAATTCACTGACTATTAATTCAACAGTGCATGGAACTGTATTGGTTATGTATGACAATTGCATTTTAATAACAGAAATGCATAAAGCTGCACGACAATGCAATGGATCGATAGAATGCGGTAACAATATCGATTGTCCAGAGCAAAACCGACTCGGTGAAAACTCGCTTCTCATTCGTAGAAAAAAAATTAGTGAAAAAAATTTAATTAAAAAATACAATTTTCGTTGAAAAAAGAAATCAGGAAGTCCGTCACGCAAATTTGCCGCGAATGAAAGTGAAAGACATTCTTATACGCATGAAATTTATTCGTGATTAATGCATTTGAACTCCCGGACTTGGCGCTATTTTCTAAGCTTCTAAGTAACTTATTGAATTGCCTTGGGTAATTTTCCAGTCACCAGTCAGGATACTTAAAACTGTACCTTTCTTAATACTACAATACATTTTACTATTACTACCTAAGAGAACTTTATTCGCTCAATAAACCCCACCGGATATTTCTGCGGTTTGTTTTTATTCTACCTTGCTTTCTATTCAATCGACCTTTCTTCGTGACTAAAATTGCAGAATAAGAAAAGAGAGAAGACCTATTATAAACTCTCTCAAATCTTGCGAGTCAAAACAAAATTCTTTTCTCCTGCAATGAGTTAGCGCAAAACCCTACATGTTAGTCACAATCAATGCACAATTCGTCATGTGCATTGATTGTGAACGCAAAGAGAAATGTGTTAATATCATGTTCTCCTTGCGGCTGCGGAGTCATCGCGCGAATTAGGCGCGATAGGGAAAAGTAGGGTAAACTATATGTCAGACCTCTGAATGCTAAACAGATGTCTACTCTTTGTGCAACGATGATTTCCCATTATGACGATTCCAATTTTCGGTGCGTGTGACGATAAATCGCGCGAGAACCTGTGCTATTTGCATTTATTTTGCAATTGTATCCTATACAGTAACATGCTGATTTTTATACTCGTAAAATAATAAAAAAATAAAAACTGTAATAAATTGCGTTTTTATTTTACGTTAAAGAATTTTTTAGAAATATGTATGATTTAGAAAAAATATATATATATGTATATGATTTAGAAATATGTTAATATATTTTTGTATTGACGTAATACTTGGAAAAAAGTGATGTAATTTATTTTTTTGAAGATTGTCTTGTTTGACCGAGCGTAACATTCAAGATTACACGTACAAGTTATGTAATATGGTCGTAAGTCACATTAGAGTAATAAGTACGCAATAATCAACATAAATGTTGAGTTTTTTAAGCCTGGTTTTTGTCATCAAAATAAATGGTATCTGATTATACCAGTAAAATTAATGTCGCTTTTATCGAACAAATATGTAAATATATGTATATATATATATATATATACATATATATAATGTATGATGTATATATATATGTATATATTAGGTTGGCTAATAATTTCTCTGATTTTGGGAGATGGCGCAATTAATATGGAATAATATCATTAAACGTTTAATTATATTTATAATAAGTATTTTGTGAAAGAGTACATTTTAACGCGCATTTAAAAAAAAGTTTTTTAAAATTAGTACATTTAAAATTAGTGCGTTGTTTTAAATACAGAGAGCAAGAAGGAGTATTTATTATTTTATTTTCATAAAGGAAAAGTACAAACAGCTTAAAAAAGGAAATATCAATAAAATACAGCAATAAATAAAACAGTATAATATGCCGAAAATACTCTTATTCTTGTTCTCCATATTTAAAACAACACTAAATACTTAAAACTCAATCAATATTATAGTATTTTTTGTGTTGTTATATATAATTTGATAAAGAAGTGAACACGTGCTTTCTCTCGTGCTTTCCATAGATAAATCGATTTGCATGTTAGAGTTCATGGTCATCCCTGGATCGATCAAAATTCCCAGGGGAGCTAACTATATATTTATTATATTAAATGTTCATTACGTTGTTTGACATCCATTTAAATGTAGGTACTCACAGATTATCGAAAAATGTTGTAGTCAAATTTTGACAATATAATTCCATTAAATTACTTATTTGTAGTTTTATTGAAAACACTTTTATCCTCTTTCATCAGTTCGTTATATTGGTACAATTAGAATAAAGTAGATATTTAAATTATTTCTTACAGCAGAAGTGTGTAAATAAAAGATTATCTTACTGTCTTCCTTCAATATGCAAATTCTAGTCATTCATTATATCGAGCAGGTTCAGTATAAGACATCATGTATAAGTAAAGGCATCTCATGTATAATTAAAGACCAGATGTACTGGATTCAGCGGGATAGTTCCGTTTTCGAAGTGATTATTTTGTTGTGTTCCATCAAACATGTCATCAAAAATATAAAAAAATAATTGTATTATCTTTTTTAAATAAATTATTATTATTGAATTATTATTGAATTACATACTTTCTTTACATCCAGATATTTTGTCTTATCTTCTTAATATAAAGTTTTTTTTGCTTTAGAAATATCAAGGAAACTACATACCTAGTCATATTATATATGACACATTATATATAACATACATTATACATGAGACGGCTATCAATTTGCTAATTTCACAATTTTAAAAATATTACTTGTCATCTCTCTCTCTCTTGTATTAAAATATACAAATTTCATTAGTCATATCAAACACAGATACAAATAGAACAATAACTCAAGTGTATGTATGAATTGACTATCAATTTGCTAATTTCATGCTTTCCATATTGCAATGCAAGATATTATTCAAATGAAATGACAAACGTTCATTTCACGAATAACTCTATCAATAGTAAAAAAATTTATTCGTTTACACGCTGACAAAATGATAGACGAAGCAATATACATCTGTTACCAAGAGGCTTTTTATCGTCAAACGAAAAATTGTGATAAATTATTCGTGTGTAGTTTCTCGCAATTTGCTCGTTTTTCCAACGTCATCATAAACTTTCAAAGAAAAACACGTAAAATTATCCGCATTATTTTCAAAGTATTACGAGAATATACTGCTTATTCCTACGAAATTATAATCGCGATTTAGAAAGAGGTAATTTGAATTATATCATTTTCTCTCTCTAAATTATCGAGTTAAAAAGAGAGATGCTGATATTCTTTCTAACGGAGCACAGATGTTACGTCTATGATTATTCTCAATTCTTTAATACATAACTATGCCACGCCATTTTTGCGTAACTTTCCATCCAAGCTACCGATGGTACACGATGTGCTATATTTGCTCCATATATGTAATTGTGTACACGTAATATGTATAACGCAGACATATCAATCAATGATATTATGAAATATCGTGTAATAATATACATATATGTTTACACTCAAGCATTAAATGGCCTGGATTGGAAAGTTCAGTATGGACTACCGGTAGTACACGCGGCACGGAATATGTTTACAGATAAACAATTTATTGTCGCGCTCACGTGAGACCGCGAGTCGCGAAATCAGAAGCAGGTCATCGAATGAGATAGAGAAACACGTGTGAGAGAAAGGGTTTTTTCTCGCGGCGGAAATGCGGAAGTGCAAGAACGAGCAGTCGTTTGAAAGAAATCGACTGGGTGATAATGAGCGCGGGAATGTTTCGCAATGATTGCGATATTTAGCCGCTAGAAAGAGGAAGGCAGTGGAAAATGAGATGAGGAAAGAGCTCGCTTCTCGTGCCGCTCGCTCACAAAACGGAGAACGCGTTTGTGTTGTACGTATAATATGTACGTGTGTATCACGGACGGCACGATTTCCGTGACATAAAGTAGTGATCAAATACGAGGATAGTACGACGTTCGCATACGTTGGGATCTATATTTTTCTTTATAGACTTCCAAGTTTTCGCCGTCGCTTCCTCTCCTATGAGGAGAAGTAAAAGTGAAGAACAAGTAATCGTTAGGAAATTTCACGATTTCTTAATGAACAGCTCCGAAGAGGACCTCTTCAAACGCGAGTTCAAGTATAAGTAATCACTCGTCGTGTTCGCGAACCAAGATTAATTTTCAATTTTATGAGCACGTATGCGAAAATGAATTCGTTCGTAATAATTGGATTGGAATGTAATGACTGACGTCTCTTAATGCCGATGAAAATAGTTCCGATCGATACATAATGTTACGCGTCTCTATCATCACATTTCCGTCTTCTGTATGAGACAAAGCTTGGAATTGTTTCCGCTTTCTTAAGCGCTTTCTCGCGACGCGTTCGAAAGAGGAAAGAAATCGTAATTAGCAATTTGTCCGATGGAATATTTTTTCTTTTCGATCATTCCGATCGAAAATTTTCTATGACATCAGTGTCAAGTGGCAATTATTACTATTTACTTCGCTTTCACGTAGCTGTTGAATTTCAGAAGTACCTAATGACGAAATGAAGACAAACAGCATGAGAATAAATGTAAACCGCATGAAAGAAAATCATTATGATAAGCTTTAGTGATATATGATGATGGCTTCAAATCACGCTTTGCATTAATTTGCATCGCATTAATAAGATTACAGGTTTGCAACGAGTCTGAATTTCCATCCAAGTGTCTCTTACACGGAGGTGAAACTCCATAAAAGTACTCGATACATTCCAGAAATTGTACTGACACAGATTCACGCGTTGAAATTTAAATCTTTTTCGAGCAATTCCTGTTGATAATAATAATGATATTCCATGTTATCCAAGATAACGAAAGAGCGAGACTGATGAGAGCGCGACATGTTACGTAATGCATAAAACAAGATATAATACTGTAGTTACTCGTTTGCATCATACGATCAAGGCATGGCCTTTATAAAACGGAAGACAAATTTACGATACGCGAGCATGAGTGTACCAAACGTTATCGTGAGTGATACAGTTCGCGTTACACGGCATGCATTTTTGCAATACAGACACACTTACACATACACACGAGCGACGTACATACGTGACAAAAAATATTATCTGGGCTGTGCTATTCTTTCGACACGGAAGTGTTTCTTGATTGCGTAGCATCCCATATCGAGTAAATGAATGAACACACCGTGAGATTTTTTACGAGATAAAACAAAATATATTTTAGTCAAAACTTGCACCGATTTATCTGCATTAAATAGATATTATTTGGTATTAAATTTTTAATTCTAAAATCTTAGATTCTATTCAAGAAACTTTTTCTTATTATCTAAAAATATTTATTTTCCTAAAATTTCCAACAGTCTAAGGTTCATTCACCGTTGCTATCTTATATTGCAATGTCGCAACAAGAAAAAACATAATAAAAATTCTTGCAAAATATATAACATGCAAAAATATATTATAATATGCAAAATACATTATCTATAATATGGAAATATATTTCGATAAAACAACATATAATCAATAAAATCGATCTTGTAAAATATATCCAACTTTTTTTTATAAAATAACTAAAATAATCATGTATCTGAAAGTTAATTATACTTAATAAAAATCGAAATAAATTATGTTCGCAGCTATGAGGTAAACTATCAAAAATTAATAAATAAAAATAAATATCGTTTAATTTTTCCCCGAAAACAGAAAGATGGTTTTTGGTATATTTTGTAAGTCTGTTCTACCGATTACAAATGGTGTTTTATTGAAATACATTTATATTGAAATATAATTTGCAACAGTTTTTATTGTATTTTCTCACTTTTGCAAACGTCACAGTCTCAGGTGATAAAGGCCATGGCAAGGGCCATGGCACACAAAAAAACGCAAGGCACTAAAGCGTAAGTAATAATGGAAGTAGAGACACAATAGAGTCATAAGGCAATAACATAAGCAGTAGCAAATTTAAAATGTTGATTTGCTTACTGCTTAAATTTTTTGTGTAATAGCTTCAGGGTCATTAGCATGTTAAATTTACTACTGATTACGTTATGACCTTATGATCTTACTGTGATTGATCAATTAACTCACTGTTTACATTTTACTGCTTAAGTTTAAGGGTGCCTTAGCCTTAATGTGAACAAAAGCCTTTCTTAAGCAAAAATCCTTTTTATCAAATTTAATCAAACAGCTTTTGTGGATATAAGCGTAAACAATTGGTCTGGCTCCTTGTAATTGACATTGACTAATTATTTTTAAACAAAATATTGCTTTATATTGATGTGACAAAAAATAGATAAAAATAATAGTTATTTAATAAACGACGCCAATTGCTTTCTCGTTAATTTCGTTAAAGAAATGTTTCTGATGTTTCGAAATTGATTAATTGTTTTTTTCAAATTAATCCGTGAACTCTGCATGTTTATTTCTTCCATGATTCACGCATTATCTGCAAATTTTTTTCCACATGAATCTATTTTGAGCAGACAAATACACGGAAACATTTAGATAATGATTACTATGAACCTTTACACAGATATGATTTCAACAATGTTATAAAAATTATAGAGATGAATTTTATTTCTATAAAATCTAGTCTAACTTTAGTATTATTATGTAACAGTTCAAGAATTGACTTTATGTTTACTATTGTTGCATGTATGTACTTCGTAATACTGTACTTTGATTACTATAGGTATATAGTAACAAAAATTTAGGTATAGAAATAGGTATAGAAATAAAAATTTTTCGTGGGAGCATTGCTTATCATGCTTAATTATTTTCAGATTTGTATCTAGCTAAACTTTTAAATATTTCAGTAAAATTTGTTCTGTGTGAATCAACTGTATCTACATTAGGTTCATCTTCTACTATGTTAGCGAAACTTTTTGACCTGAATCTTGATAATGACAGCAGATTGCTAACACAGAAGAGAAACAGTAAAAAATTTATTATTTTAAAACCATTTGAATGATATATTAAAATGACTATAAAATAGCAGATTTTACAATTAGTTACAATGGCAATTAATCTATCATTATAGTCTATTAAAGATCTTATTATATTATAGTCTTTTTATATTTTTGCTGGTATGTTATTGACATAATTTATAACAGACACTTTGCAAGATCTATTTTTGATATGGTTAATTATTTGAAGGTATGATGATATAATAATCTTTCCTATTTTAATCTATAATAGGAGGGAACACAGACACACACATATTTGTAGACACTAAAGGAATATATGGATTCTTAGAACCCACTAAAGTTTTTACTATTGTATGTTTAAAAAATTTTTTTAAACTGTGAAAAATAAGATTGTAAAATATATGTAAATTATTTTAAATAATTACTATTTAAAAATTAGAAAGAGTTTCAGAGTCACCAGAATCCAGTTCCAGTTATGGGTGAATTACGGCCAACAATCTTTACGCACAAAATCATAAAGTATATCTTTGTAAAGTATATCATGTATTAACATATCCCTCATTCTTTTGCATCATTATAATCTGAAAATCTTTTCATTACACCAAATGGACCAATCAGTTATCTCAAAACGCAACGCACATATGTATTCTTATCATTATACATATATAATTTTTTAATTTGACGTATGATTCTATAGGTATGACTTAAGGACCATGTTTTTTAATATTTTTTAAATTTACTTATTAGCATTATGATGTATAATACTCGAAATATTCAGTCGGTAAGGTAATGACAGCACATCATACGCTCATCCACGCTGGAGCATCGTCGAGTTTCCAGCATTAAACCTAACCTCACTTTCGCGGTTCTCGGAAATTCGCGGAGATCTCACTTTTTGGACATCGTGACAGCCAGATCGTACGAATGGTATGAGAGACAAATTTTCAGACTTACGGCTCGGCGATGACCGGCGCGATCTTGAGCACCGTTGTCAGGAAGGACTGATCCTTGCAGACCAGGAGGGGCTTTTGTGGCGCGCTGTTCACATTCAGTATCCTGAACAGGATGCACAGGATCACGGCAAACAAGGCTAGCAATGCCGTGGACATCTTTCTTTAGGAGCCGTCAGCGTCTAAAAGAAGTATATCCCAGTATATCCTCTATCTACTCGCTCTCTTTCCCTCCTTGGACTTTTACTCTCGCTTCCTTAAAAGCACCGCTCCTCAAACACGTTCCTTCACCGATCCTTCTTCAGAAATAAACATTTATGCTTTTTCGCAGTTATATCACGCGTGTTATCTTTGGAGATGCTTGCAAACGTGACATATGGTTTAATCATACCTCTTCCTGAGAAAGGAGATCGGCTGTCTTCCTTTTTAGATTTCGAAGGCCGATAAGACGGACGAGCTGTGACGGTCGCGAATGGTGATTCATGCGATTGATGCTTCGTGACCTGCGAGCAAAAATCACACCGTTTTATTAGGACTCCGATTGCGAGGCTCAGATGACAATAGGTACATGACGGATGAGTACTGGATATGCAGAACGACGTGAATGCCGGGGAGCGCTGTAAATTGACTGCAGAAGTGCACGACGTCTCGCGCGATCGAGAATGCATCCTGACCTCCGGGAAGGGTATCGGTGGTAGTAATGAATGAGGCGAGAATTGATCGCGTTATATGTTACGTTACATCGTTTTGCATGCCCGGTCCCGACTCTCCTCCAGCTCGTCGGTGCGGTGAGAATAGCGAGGGTTATATCGACGATATGAAGGATCGATAGCGGCAGATAAACTCGGCGATATCGCGCGTTTCTTTGACTTAAGAACAACAAGTGACGATAACGTTCAATGAATCATTGAAGTGAATTTTAAGTAATCGTTTAAAAATACTTTGACGTCATTTTGATGCCACGATGACCTGCTTAGGGACAATTAATCAATGTTCACGCTCCGAGAAATTAAACGCGAGTTTACGAGAAATTGTTTTTTTTTTATAAGTAAACGCTTCTGAGTACTTATTTACAGCGAACTCGATTATTTGCAGTACATATTATAGATCAGCATGTTAAAAGCTATATTGGAAAGAGAGTTGTATTAATTGGGATTCTGGTTGAATATGGATAAATCAAGATTTTCCTGGTTGAACCTATTAATAATTATTGTTGAAAGAACTAGAATTTTAATTGATCTGAATCTTCTGGCTCGTTTATTATTTTTAGTCAGAAAGTTTTCTCAGTATGATGCATAGTTAATGTAAAATTAGCAAAGCTAATGTAGAAGCATATCAATATTTTAAACAATTAATAATCAAGAAAAAAAGAGGCTAAAAGCCAAACAGGATTATAAAAAATTATATAAATTTGAAATTGTTTAAGCCTGAATCTAATGACTTAAGGTTTAAACAATTAAATATCTAATAATGATATTATATATCTTGTTATTTAGCAGAATATATACGTATTTTATTGTCGAAATTGATTAAATTATGCCACTGCATTTGGATATTTCACATAAAGTAGCTTTTAGTATGCATTAGTCGAACCAACTTCACCATTAATATTAGCGATTAACGTACGAAATAAATCAAATCTATGCGCATTTTTTTTTTTTCTTAGCAAACGATGTAGGTAGGTACGTGACTGGTTCAATAATCGTTTGTTTAAGCTTTACATTCGAATATCTCTTTTCTCGCGGCGTAACGGTTGTTTTCCGCTGCTTGCGAAAGAATTTGCTTCATTATCCCGAGAGGACTTGTCTTGAAAACTTGAAAGTCGAAGTCACAACACTGATTGATGCCAACGCCCGCTAATTATTAATTCTTCTTTTCGAATTAACGCGATAACATTACTTAATTGGGTAATCGATTAATTGCTCCAGCAGATAATCGTAATGTGAAAATGATGTCAAAATATTTTAAAATGATTACTTAAAATTCACTTTTTAACCATTTAATGATTCATTTTAACATTGACGACGCTTTAATTAAGCCACTTTCTTCGTCTACATATAAGTCTCGGATTTAATTAAGAAGGCAAACCTATGAATAGCGACAATAAAAATAAAGGGATAAATACACTAAGAAAAAGAAGTTGTCCATTTGTCTGAATTGATTTACTTCGCCTTTATTTCTTTCAATGAAATATATAGATATTTATATATTTGATTTAAATATATACATCCTTGAACAACAGAAACAAAGACGAAATTAATTAATTTAGTCAAATGAACAATTCTTTTGTTTCAGTGTACAATTCTCCTAAGAGGGTGCGGTCAAAGGATGCGTTCTGTTCTACATACGTTGCGTCACTTTATCCTTTAATATTCGGTGAACAACAGGATAAAATGATAATCATGCACATCATGCGTGAGACAAAACGCACCCAAAAGTCTCACTATGAATGCTTCAAATACTTAATTTGAAGCGTTTGATTGACTAATAGAAGAATTTTACGAATTGACCAGTCAAATAATTGCTTCAGAGCACTTAAATATCATTGAGCAGATAAAATCACGTTGGCATACTTCTAGTCGGCACCTATAGAAAACCTAGAGAACAAGAGACACCCGAATAAATTGATGTATGCTTCCTAATTTTGTTTGACGATGCTAAAAAATGTGTCCAGCGATCGCTAAAGCCTAATCTACGGTGTGTTCTTTATTTCCTGTTTCTTACTTTTTACCTCATGCTTTTTCCTTCTTTACGATCGTTTGATTGACAATTGCATTTTTTGCCATGTGTTTTATGATTCTTGCGATCGAAGTTAATTTGTATCTCGAGCGCAGGAAATGAAAAAACGAGATAAGAGATAAAAAGACAAAATGTAAAAAAATAACAAAAGGAAACAACGAAAGCACATTGTAGAATGGGCTTAACGAAAACGAGCATATTCTGAAGTAAAATCAAATCTCGTCTAGCTCTTTTATGTAACTTGGAGTGATCGAAAACGGGACGAGAGAACCTTGAAGGGTCGTGTATCGCTTGCTTTTCTGAGAATCCTGCTCACCGGATGACGATCCAGTCGGCGAATTACGCCGGTTAGAGGTACGATATGTTCAGGATATGAGTTCCCGGGCGGCCGGCACGCTCAGTTTGCCGGCGCTTCGCGGAGCGGAGCAGATGGCTCGAACGTTCAGACACGTATCGCACACATCCGTTCGCGTCGAACTCCAACGGGCGACTGACAAAGTGTGACAACCGACGGACCGACATCTGTATGCACTCGCGACAAACACGCCGTGTTGGAGCGAAGGGGAGCCGGCGTTTCTCCCTGAGATATATACATATATTATGTGTGAAGTATACGTACAAATGTATATATTATGTATATATGAATGTAATTAAATTAATTAGAGTCACCTTGATTGATTCCGATTAATTCAACAGCAATTAATGTAGCGAAAAATATATACACTATCTTATCTTAACAACGCATGGATCGAAATAATCAATTTCTTGATGGAAAGATTGCAGATTACAAACAAAATATATAATTAAAATTTTCGCTACAAGGAATTTTCTGGTTAACTTAAATTATTGATAAAATTAATCAGAGTTCTGTTGACACGTTCCATTTACACACTTATCTGATTCTATTCGTATGATTTTTTTTTTGTTATATCATTTATATTAACATTTTCGATATCTATATACTTTCGATAACTATTTACTTTCATGATCATTCAAAATATTGTCCACCGCTAGCCACTACTTTTTCCCATCTTTCTGGTAATAGGTGAATTCCACGTCGAAAGAACGACTCATCTTTTGAGGCTATCCACGAATCGATCCATTTCTTAATATCTTCATAAGAATGGAAGCGCTGCTCAGACAGATCATGAGACATCGATCGAAATAGGTGGTAATTGGAAGGAGCAATATCTGTAGAATACGGCGGGTGTGGTAGGACATTCCAGTTAAACGCTTTTAACGTATCCTTTATCAGTTTCGCAACATGTGGCCGAGCATCGTCGTGTTGGAAAATCACTTTGTCACGTCTTTTCGCGTAATCTGGCCGTTTTTGCTTCAATGCTCGGCTCAGATGCATCAATTGCTGTTGGTAGCGTTCTCCAGTGATGATTTCGTAAGGTTGGAGCAGTTCATAATACACTACACCCAGCTGATCCCACCAAACACAGAGCATGAGTATTCGACTTTGTCGTCGATGATTTTTTGCGCTTCGGATTATCGTAGCGTATCCATTTTTCATCACCCGTCACGATACGATGCAGAAAACGATTTCTCTTGTGTCTTTGAAGCAACAATTCACAGGTCATTTTGCGCCTTTCGACGTCCCTCAGCTTCAATTCGTACGGCACCCAATTTCCTTGCTTTTGAATCATTCCAATGGCGTTCAAACGTCTGGAGATCGTTGATCGATCAACATTTAATGATTCTGCAAGTTCTTCTTGCGTTTGACTCGGGTCTTCATCGAGTAAAGATTCCACTTCCTCATCTTTAAACTTTTTCGGCTGGCCTGGAGGTTTCTTGTCTTCCGTGGTAAAATCACCTTTTCTAAAGCATCGAAACCAGTACTCACATGTTGAAATCGATGGAGTATAATCACCATAAGCGTCTGACAGCATTCGTTGACTTTCAGCAGTACTTTTCTTCAAATGGAAGCAAAAAAGTAAAGCTTCTCGCAAATTGCGTTTTGTTGGCACATAATTCGACATGTTCAAAAAAACAATGTACGTTGTTTTTACCCTTCGGCAAAATGACTGTGAAAACTAAAGCTGAAAACTAAAGCCATATAATAATGTTTTGCCATGATGGTAGCAACAATATATGAGTGCATCCAGAAGCACGACCGCTCATTGAGCTCTTGTACCTGTTTGGTTTATATATTTAGATCTAATGGAATATGCCAATCAGATAAAAAAGCTCATTAAGCGCTTAGTGAGCGGTCGTGCTTCTGGATGCACCTAATATGTGTGCCCTCCAACAAGCAACACAGCACAACAGAGTGATCATCTCATCCTTGTTTAACATTGGCGAACAACAAGGACATACTGATACACCGTGTCATCTGTGTCGCTTGTTGAAAGGCACCCATTTATAGATCCAACCAATCATATTCGATCGCTCGGCAAGCGTACCTTATAGCCGCTTTGCCGTCTCGAACTCGCCCATGAAAAACCATCATAAAACCGTCTTGAGACATTTGCATAAAGCTGGATACAAAAAAAAGCTCGATGTTGGATATGCCACATGATATGACGGTTATAAATTTAATCGATCAAATTTCCATTTACGAATCGCTGCTGAAACGAAATGAAATTGAATCTTTCCTGAAAAGATTGATAAACGAGCGATGAAAAGTAGATAATATATGATGATAATAATATTAATAAGGTGATGCTATGTCTCTGGTGGAACTGGAAAAAAGTCATCCATTATGAACTGTTGCCGCCAGGCAAAAACGATTGATTCTGACCTCTACTGTCAACAAATAATGCGATTGAAGTAATTCATTCGGGAAAAGCAGCCAGAATTGATCGATAGAAAAGGCGTTGTCTTCCATAACAATGCTGGGTCACATAAATCTTTGATGACAAAAATTGAGAGATCTTGGTTGGGAAGTTTTGATGCATCCATCTTATATTCTTGATTTTGCACCGTCCATTTACCATTTATATGTATATATTTCCGTCTTTGCAGAACTCCCTTAATGGAGTAAACTTGACTTCAAAAGAGTTCTGCGGAAATCAATTTTTTACTGAGAAATTACAGAAGTTCTATATCAATGGAATAATATAGCTTTACTCGAAAAGTAGCAAAAGTCTTCGATCAAAATGGCACATATTTGGTTTAATAAAATAAGATTTGTAAACAATTAAAAAAAATACGTTTTAGTTATGCTCCAACTTGTAAAAATTTCCTAATCCTAAGTTGAGTATAGCTATATTTAGCTATATTCAGCTTTTAGTCAAAAAGGGGGAGATGAGGGCAAAAATTCATACTCAAATAACATTTATTAAAATATATTTATGTTAAAACTCTAATTCTTAAAGATTTCCAGAGAACTTTCTTATATAATACTTCTTTCAGTTTCTTTTTCGGCGTAAAAATGATTTTGAATTATTTCTTATCAAAATTTAAGAGTATATATATGTGTTTCCCGCCTCTCTTTTATGGAAGTTCATGCCTACAGCTATTAAGCATGTAATGTTAGATTTTATTTGTACAAAATAGATTTAACGAGACGTATTCAACCCGAACTAAATTCGAAGGAATTTAAATAGATTAAAGTATTCAAATTTGATGCTTTGAAATTTCTTAAAGCGTGTTGGATTTTGTATTTGAATTGTTATAAAAGTTTGAGGTATCTTAATTGTAAAAAAAATCACGTAGCAGTACGCATAAATTTCATCTCGAGGTTTGCGTACATATATGAAGACAGGTGCACACTCACAGATTCGGAGGTCGACGATTCAAGGCTTCCTCCATGTGTGTGTGGTGTGCGATATAAAAAAATCATTTAACGAAATTCTCCTTGCATAATCGCCGCTTAATGAATTCAATAATTAAAATGGATACAAACCTGTTATAAATCTTAGTATTTTGCAAAGATTTTTAGAAACAAATATCTTTTTCAATAATTTTTTAAAAATTTAACTTTGTGCATAAAAATGATTATTGATTAAGACTAATGGTTCGATTATATGATCCTTTTTATAAGATATCTTTCTGATTTATAATTATGACTTGTAAAATTGTCATTTTTTTTCTTAGAATCTCGATAAAGTAATAATCCGGAATAATATCTGGCTAAGAAAAATTTGAAAACACACAGATTGCATAAGAATCGAGCTCCCGCGAAGCTGAAAATCCTGTTTAACAAAAAAGCTGATATTCAAGTTTCTCATAGTCTTACAAACATCCTGCTTCATATGGCCTTTCCAATTAATTCCGAGGAGTTAATTAAGTAATGGATGAACTTATTGATGTAACTGTTACAAGTTGATATGGCAACGCAATTTACTCCTTCCGATTTGAGCCAGTAGCCTGGCTTTCTACCGTAAGAGTACAACGAAATTGCAATGAGAAAGAAAAATAGTTAAATAAATTTGAACATCGGTAATTTTAGTATTAAAGTTAACAGTGAACCATGTATACTTGCAAAATGTTATGGACTTTTGTCATTAATAAATTATCATTATTAATTAGAAATATTTAATGTTGATTTGTTTTTTTTAAAGCTCCACTAATTTTAATCGACTACAATGGCAACGGGTAAAGGTAAGAAGAAAGCTGGAACGAAGACAAATGGAAAAAATAATGGAAAAGACACTAAAAGTGGTAATGGCAACAAAAGTAAAGGATCCAAGAAATCGAGAAGAAGTGGTGGAAAAGCACGATTTGCCATGGATATCTTTAACGAGGAAGTGATGGAAAACGCTTATTACACATGTCATAACATCATGGATGTGTTAAAATGTCGAGGTTTTCCGTGGCCAGAAGCTCAGAAGAAAAAAGGAAAGAGGAAGAAATAAATAGTCATGTGAATATATCTATGTCAAACTGTACTTTTAAAACATATTAAAAATAATTCAATGTCATACAAAAATATCTATTTATATAAACTGTATATTAAGTCAAATGTATGGTATACTAATATATGTATCTCTTTTATTTTAATTTCAGTATATATATATATGTATCAATACTTAACATCTTTTTTTCTTATAAGAATTTCTTATAAAAATTAGCATTATTTTAATATAAAATATAACTTATTAAAACTTATCTTATTAAAGCTATCTTAAAGCCTTATGTTTTTATATTGTTTTATGAAAATATAAATTAGTTTCACAAACATACTCTATACATGTAAAATTAAAAATAAATTTCTGTAACTTGGTGAAACTTTGTCTTGGTATTTATATGAAGAATAAGATATATTAATTCTTATAACGTAATAATAAACTGTTAGAAAAAAATATGACTTCTATTCATCAGCTGATGATGATGCAAGATAATTGCAGTAATCCTCTATATCGAATTCGAAATCTTCATTATTTGCCTTAATTGTTCCATTAAAGACGCAATGCACCGTTACTGTCTCAGCATATGATAACTTAGGCAGAAGCTGTTAGAGAGAACAAAATTAATAAAAAAATTGTCACATAATAGAAAATTATTATTTTGTTGTTGTTACGCTTACTTTTGGTGTAAGCAAAAAATATTGGGAGCTGCCTGGTCTTCCTGTCATTTTGACGAGTAAATCGAAAACCCGTCTCTCATTCACTGCATCCATACCCTAAAAATATAAAAAAAAAAATAAATAAATTGCAAAAAATAACGAATAATATATTATAAATACATTATATAAATATAGAATACTTGCTATTAGTGAGATATCTCGTACCTGATTAATTTCATCCACACAGCGAAATGGTACACGCGATAATTCTTGCAGCGCTATCATATAAATGGCAGTAGTTACAGTTCTTTCTCCACCACTCTGAAAATGCCTTGTTAATTCTTGCAATTCGTCTGCATCTCGGAATTTTACTTTGATCTTTAATCCGTACTGATCAAAATCCAACTAAAAATATATTATTATTATTAAGTTATTAAGAATAATGAAAGAATTTTCATTTTGCATAAATACGATATATTTATACTTACGATATCTTCACCATGTGCGAGTGTAACTTCGCCAGCACAGTCCATTGTGAAAAAGTAAGAACTAAAATTTGCATTAATTTTTTCTATCAATTGCTGCAATGGTTGTAACCACTTTTCTTTTAATGTCTCAATTTCCTTTGTCATTTGCTCTAACGTAATACTTTTCTTTTTAATAAATTCAGTTAAGTCGTGAATATTATTTTGCATTTCTTCATATTCACGCAGTATCTGAAAATATAGAAAAATTATTCAATTTTTTTGTTGTATCCATATAGCGTTCAAAATAATATTTTTCATCATGCATACATACATTCTCGGCATCCACATTTTGCGCCATACAAAAAACTTTTGCTTGAGAAACATTTAATTCGTTATTTATTTCAGCTATAGTAGCTGGTAATTTTTCAAAGGCTTTATTGAAAACTTTAAATGCGTCATCTTGTGGACTAAGATTATCTGTGGTTTTCAATGCTTCTTTGTATAGTCTTTCAGCTTCTTTCTTTAAAGGTTGGAATTCTTCATCACAGGTTTTAAATATTCTCTCCGTTGTTGTAAAGCTATCCTTTAATTCTTCGGCTTCATTCTCTTTTATCAGTAAAGTTTGTTGTAATAATGTTACTGCAAATTTGACCTCTACGTTACTCGTATTGTAATTGAAACATTCTTGCAGAATTCCATTATATTCTTTATACATTTTTAATTGTTTGTTTATAATGGCCTGTAAATAATTAATTAAATATAAATGCAGATTTTATTAGACATAATTTTTTTAAAACAGCATGTTTTATTGTCATGAAAATAAAAACCTTTATCTCGTTGGTGTATGTTGCTTTTATATCATTAATATTCATTCGGTTCATTTCTAGCTGTCTAATTTTATCTTCAGCTATGTGTATTCTACTTTTTAATGCTTGAATATGCTGAACATTTTGTTGACATTTATTCTTGTTGGCTCTATACTCATCTAATACTTTCGTTTCTAATTGTAACTTTTCTTCTATTTCTTTAATATTTATCAAAATTTCATTCTTCTTTTCTTGTAAATTTTGTAATCTATAAAATAATTAATATATTAATATGTTAATCCATTACAATTTATTTATTTTTTATTGAATTAAAATACCGTTCTTGAAGATTCCGTAGTTTAGATTTGTCCAGAACAATAGAAAGCATTCCATTTCCATTAATTCGTGATATTCTGGTCGATGTCTCGTGCGTATACTTAGATGTACTTACAGAATATACATTACTTTCTATAAAGAACATTTTATTGAGTTTATGGAAAATTGTAAATTTTTGATTTTTAGGAAATATACACTCACCACTAAAGTAACAATTTAAGCTGCGAGGTATGTAATTTGTATTATTCTCAATTTCATTAGTTCCAACAGGAATGTTGTTTAAACGATACATCGAGACTAAATATTTCATTATAGAGGATGGTACTTCAACAAGCTCTGCTAAATAATGCTTAAAGCCAAATTTTTGTATGTTTTCTATCGGGATATTCGGTTGCAATGTGACTCTCTTCATTGGATCAGAATGTACTACATTAATTTGCAGTTTCTGTTGTTCCCTCAAATACTTAAGTAAAAGATTCATATCTTTTTTATCTTCACATGTGAATGCAATTAAATCTCGAAACGGTATTATGCTTTCTAAATATTTAGCATATGAAGCCTCTTTTACATTAATATTAAGTAACATGGGCAGATGCACTGTTGATGAAAATTTGTCTCGATTTTCTTTTAACCAAAGTACAGCTTTGTATGCATTCATATTCTTCTGTTTCAGCAGTTCTAATCGTTTCACATCAATATTAATTGTCTGGAGTTCTGCTTGTACAGCTACAATCATAATTTTAATTAACAAATATTTAATAACACATAAAAAAAATAATAATCAAGACTAAAAATACAATATAGATATTTGTGTATAAGTATATACTTCTTATTTCGCGACTGATGTTTTCGTCCTCATGCTTCAATGTAATGTTTCCATTGGTGAGATTCTTTATTATTTTTCTATGCTCATCCATACTAGATGCTATATTTCGCATTTGTTCCATTAAACTTTCCTCTAAAATATATAATATTTTATTATTATAGGATGACATGTCTCTCTTTGTAAAAATACTCAACTCATAACGAGTTCTAAGTTCCATCCCGACCTCTATCCCGTATACGCTTTGGTTTATATGTTAATTGTGTAAAATTAAACTTAAAAGGAATTCACACACACAAAACATAAAGAAAAACGGTTTAAATCAAGCAAAATCTAATTAAAAGAAATTAATAAATAGAACAAGTCATGAAATAAATTTCAGAAACAGTGATCAGTTAGTTTTGAAAACGATGAACTGATATGTGTATTTATGTAAAAAATAAACTAAGATTCTCTTGTCGGGCTGTGTGGCTCCGTGGCAAAGACAGTGGCTTTCTAATTTCTACTTCGAAGCCTCGGTTCGAGTCCCGTCCGACATATTTCCGAGATTTCGACATTTTTTCTCGGTCCAGCTCTTAAAGTTATATATTTGTACATACATGTATTATTCGTTAAAATTAAATTAAATCAATAATTACCCGATCCCATTTCATTAATTGTAAGAGAAAAATCATTCTCGAGTTTGGATTTCTGTTGTTGTGTAAATTTAATGTCTTGATCTCGAGTCTGTTCTCCTTGAATCTTTCGAGAACATACATTTTCTGCATCCTTGATGTTGTTTTCGGAGTTAAGAATCTCATTCATAATGCTCTTTAATTTCGCATTTTTAGCATTAACTTTATTATTCTGAAAATATACAAACAAAATGTCACAACGGTGTGTAATTCTTATAATAACGTTCAAATGTAAGTTGAACTGATTGTGAGTAAAAAAATTTTGTATTATTTTGCAATTTTCACGTTTTGTGCTTTTAGAACACAGCCATTATTTTTTTGTAGAATGTTCTTCGTCACGTGTTTGAACTGTAAACGCTAAGCTTTCTTGTCATTAAATTATGCGAATGCATGTTGATTTGCAGACCTTTAAAAATTAATTATTCATTAATTATATGAAAATCGCAAACTAATACAGAATTTCATTTAACCTGTTCTGTTCGTACTGTAATATTATCACAAAAATAAACTGAACATCCTGCACATTGATATGTAACATCAATAATATCACAATAAATTATTTTTTTAAATAATATCTTTATTTTATGTGCTAATATATACTTACATGATCCTTTAAGGAATTTTTTAACGTTGTTATTTCAGACTTTATTTTGTCAATCTTTTTATTTAATGGTTGTAGTTTTGAGTCTATTAATTGCATTTTTTTTGCTATGTTATCTCTGACTTTCTTTGACTGTAAAAACATATACAAAAGTATATCAATAATAAAAAAGTAACAATAAAGAATAACGTTAATAACATTTTAAACATTTTACAAAATTAATTTTGTGTACCTCTACTAATTTCCTCCGCATTTGATCATACAGCATCCATACTTTCTTTTGTTTAAGTGTTAAAATCTTTTTCTTTATCAATTTTTTCTCTTTTATTGTCGCAACAGTTTGTTGTAATCCATCACGTCTCTGAGTCTTAGATTCTAATAATTGTTTTGTCTTGATCACATCAACCTCTAATTTTTTTAAATGGGTTCTTTGTTCCTTCAATTTTAGATGATACTCCAGAAGTTTTGGATCTCCGACAGATCTTTCTGTATTTTCTAATAATGCTTGAGCATCCATTTTTGAGAAATCTTGTACCTTATCTTGTGGCAAAAACTGACAAAGATTGTCGACCTGCAAAAAATAAGTTTAAAATAATAAAAGCATTAAAAGACAAATTTTATGTCAAAAAGTCTATTTAAATAT